AGGGGTGTAAATAGGCAGAATAATTGTCCCTCAAAGATGCCCATGTTCCAATCGTCGGAACCTGTGAATATACCTCACTTAGTAAAAGGGATTTTGCAGGTGTGATTACGTTAAGGATCTGGCGATGAATATCCAGGATTATGTGGGTGGGCCCAATGTAATCCCAATGGTTCGTGTAAGTGGGAGGCCAGAGATAGAATTGGAGATATGATGAAGGAAACAGAGGTTGGACTGATGTGATTGCTGGCTTTGAAGATGGAGGAGGGTCACTAGCCAAGGAATGCAGAAAGCCTCTAGAAACTTGTAAAAGCAAAGAGCAGATTCTCCCTTAGAGCATCCAGCAGAAAGTCAGCTCAGAAGACACTTCTGTTTTAGACAGTTAGACTTCCAACTTTCAGACGTGATGATGAATTTGTGCTGTTTTAAGTCACTAAGTTCGTAGTAATTTGGTACAGTGGCAATAGGACACTAATTCAGACAATAATGACTTTCCACTGTTGTTAGACCTGTGGTACTACACCATCCTTTTATTGGTGGGTCTTAACCTTGCCCACATCTTTGCAACTAACCCCTTCATTAATGTTTCTTCACTTATCCGTCTGAGTGTACCATCTGGTTTCTGCCAGGACTCTGTTAAATGCTTATACCGTTTTATTCATTAAAGCCACTTCTAGGTATTTATTCTAGAGAAATGCTGGGAGATATATACAGTAACTGAGATATATACAGATATTGATTATTTATAACCACAAAAATAAGCAGAATAGGGACTGGCTAAATCAATTATACTATAGCTGTGTGATATAGTAGAATGCCAGAAAACATTTTTGTTACATATGTTCACACACATGCATAATTGTGTGAAAAATCAGGCTACAAAACATACCTATGTATTTTACCTATGCCTATATCTGTATCTACACCTTTATCTATGTATCATTTATCTGTATATCATCTGCCTGTTTAAATATATAGAGAAAGAAAACTGAAAGAGGAGAAAAAGATAAATGATGCTTTTAGTGGTTAACTATTGCTAGTGGATAAAGGATAATATTTCTTCTTTGTGCATTTTCATATTTTTCAAATTTTCTACAAGGCTTTCATTAGTAGTCAGAAAGACAGTTTTAAAGCAGTAATGGGTCCTCCTCACATATGGTAGAATGCTTTGTATTACAGAGGAAATCTTTTCTGGGTCACCCACAGTTAGAACAATTTCTTCTATATACAACTATTTTGTGCAGCTTCATTATAGTTACTTGTATTCTTGTCTGACTCCTCTATCACATTGTGGGCACTTTGAAGCAGATAATATCCTAAAATGCATGTCTTCCTGCACACTCACAGTGCCCTATGTGAAACTTGCAATATGTGTTTACTGAAAGCTTTATATTGAATTGAATTTATAGATGCTTAATCAAAACTTCTTTGACGGGGGTCTTATTTACAGACCCGTAAAAAATACAAGTAACAGGAAAAAAACCTATGAGGCAAATTTGTATAGCAAATTTGTATATACAGAGGATAAAAAACCTGATTTAAGATGCAAATGGATAGTGAATTATTTATATCATATTCTTGTCACAGAATGGTTCATTTAAAATTGGTTTACTAAGAGGATTAGATGAATGTAAGTACTTAGCTGAGGTAAACATTAGGATTAGACTATTCAAAAATCAGATCAAGCACTGGAGGAGGTGAAAGAAAATAGCCTATCGTACTTTAGTCACACTGGAAAGACTTCATGGACCAGGTTGAATCCTTAATTAGTTACTCTTCGGTATGTTGAGCGACAAAGGTATTCTAGGAATATGGCACTATTTTGGAGAAGACTCGAGGAAATAGGACAGATGAGTCAAGACAGCTATGTGGAGATACGGCAGAGTTTAGGAGAGCCTGAATGTTAGATGATAATCAATAATATCATACCATAATAAACAGCAGAGGAGTGATAGAATTAAGATATGTCAGAAGGAGAAGAGACTAAAACCCTTTCATTCACATGTGAGAGACTGAGTCTCCCAAGATAGGAATATTTGGAAAATCTTCAGATATAACCTAAAGTCTCTATCCCTGGTCCAGTGACATTTTTTTTCTTTTTATATGGGAAGAGTCCTCAGTAATGATTGAGTCCTCATGTTCATTTCATTAAGGATTTTTAACACTTAGCTACAAAATAATGTATTTGACTTAGTTATATTGCAAAACAATACTATATTAAGATAGAGCTACATATTTATTGATAATGTTTTGCATGTTTATTTAGCAATCATCTTATTGGGGATTTTTAAGGGAAATCATCATGTTTAATTTTCAGAAGATATCTACATGTTTATCTTCATGCATACCACGTATAGTGATTTAAATGATAACACTGTTCCACTTGGGAATAGTTATTTATTGATACTTAGCTCTATAATTTTCTTTATGTACATGAATTTCCTAAGTATGGTGTGATGCCAGTAAAGATGTTTATTGTACTGCATTCCTACAGTGGAAAAACGTAGTAATTAACTTCATAAATGATAATCGTTATTCTTAAGCAAAGTAGACTATGATCCTTGTGCCCTTTGTTTTCTGACATTCCGTATCTGTGCTGAAGAAAATGACTGACAATCCAATAATTCCTTGGTATTGCTTCAGTCATTCCATATAATAAAACTATGGGTTATAAACCATTATTATCCCCGTTTTCCAGATGAAGAAACCGAGGCAGAGAAAAGTTGGATAGTAAGTCTTGGCAGGGCCAGGATTTGAACCTTTGTAATCTGGAGTAAGAGCCTCTGCTTTTCCATTTTGTTATACAAACAATAATAAGGAAAAGCCTTTTTTTTTTTTTAAAATCCTGAATAGAGAGAAAGTCACAACTGGATTTTGTAATTGGCCTATGGTTCCTAACCTCAGACCAAGTGATAATAGAGCATTCCTACCACTTTTCTGATATAATTGAAAGAACGAGCCTGTAGAGACTAGCTATAGGAAACTCTGGTTTTCTGTTGCTCCAAGCTCAGAGGGACAAAGGCCAACTCTGGGTCTACAATTTTTCAGATGATTGGAGATCCCTTCTTTGCAACAGAATTCTGAAAGCAGTGGGTAACACTGAAAAGTGATTGCTCATTACATTAGAGAATAAAATAAATGTAAAATCTATCAACTTATCTCTGTTGCTACATATTTTAAAATTTATCTCATTGCAATTAAAGAGAAATCAAGATCAGAGAAAGAAGGCGTCTTCAAATTTGGCAGATCCAAAAGAAAAAAGCATTAACAGGAAGATAATAATGTATTCCACAATTTTACTTCCAAATCCTAAAACACTGTGAGGGGCAGTACAAAGAGTAATACTTGGGTGGCTTCCTGGGTTTGTCATTAACTGGCTGTGTGACCTTCGGCAACTCAGTGAGCATTAAAAATATTTAGCAGAGCTGTTGGTCTAGGCCATTCTCTCTTTCTTCTACATGTTTAACAAAAATCCATAGTGACAGTCATAGAGAGAACAATTTTTGACATAATCCCCAATGACCGCATCATTTGGTTAAATTTAATTTGACCTTCATTAGAGACAAAACTTGCTGCTACTAGTCAGAATAATATTGAGACTTTAAAAAAGGATGAAGGCCATCCAATGAATATGTACTTAGCTAAACATAAGGTCAAGGAGTTAGACAGAAGACAAGACCAAAGTGAAAACTAATTTTTTTACGTGTCTGGAAGGTGAGAAATAGATGTTTAAATTGGACGCAGGAAGCCACGAGGGGCCAAGCGAATGACAGCTAGAGGAAGGTTATGGCAGCTGTGTTTGTAAAGGGTTATGCTAACTCTGTTCTTCTGAGAATTTCAAAGGACTTCAAGAAAATAAGATACTGGCTCCCTATATTTTTAATTTTGGGGGCTACAGAGAAGTGTTCTTTGGCTGTGAAAATAATCTGTGAGATTTCTTTCAATAAGAGATTTGTATTTTCAGCCTATAGTTTAAAGGAAGGTTTGCAATTCAAGTACTCTAAAAATGAAACATCATGCTACAGAGCCACATGTAAGACATATGAATAGTGCTGGATGCTTTTAGAGAGCTGATCTGATGGGAGTGGGAGGCAGCAGAGTGCTGGTGTTGCCACATGGGGTGGCCTTATTATACCTAATTTACAGCTGGTAAAATGGAGGCTTATAAAGACTGAATTGACAGTTGTCAAACAACTGGTCAGTGGCAGAGTTGGGATCCCAATGATGTCTGACACCAGTGTCCATATTCTTAACCACGCCAAAGTTTTAGGCACGGAAGTCTTGAGCTTCACCCACTTCATACCTTTTCTGTCTTGTACCTCTACTCCACACCCCAAACACATCTCTTAATTTCTTTGAAGTGAGGAGCATTATCATGCAAAACATGATCACACTGCTCACAGATACAATTCACATAAAGGGAAGGAAGTGTTGGAGAATGAGACAGGGAAGAGGGGTCACACTCTTTAAGACAAACAAGTCCAACCAGACCACTGACCTGACACCATAGATTAGAATGCAGCATTTTTATTGTAAAAGTCCACATATTAAGCAATTCCCTTTGTGAAAAGGTTTCCAAATACATAGACCAGGAGCAGCTGATAATTAAGAATTAGATTATGTATAATATATATTCATGTTGCCAATACTATGCACACATTGGAAAGCTAGCTTTTTTGAGTGTCCCCATTAACGGAATACATTTCAAGTCGACAATAATAACATGTTTCTCGTCATTGAAAATTTGCCAACAACTCTCCCAAAGAGTCAACATTTAATATGTTAACAATTCAAAACAAGAAAATAATTCTATTTACATGTGTTTGAGGTTATATACTAGAGCACTGATACAGTAAAGGTTTGTAAAATTGGCAGCTAAATGTATTTCACGATTCATCCAGATGACTTGATCATGACTTTACATGGTTTTCTATTAACAATGCCACTTTCTCTTCTTTTCTACTCTTTTTAGATTATCTATAGCTATGATTGAATTCTGACTTAGAGCAATGATTGCCAAAAGGAAGAACTTGCAAAGGGTGCTATTTTAGAAAAATAAGGATTCAGGATGAATAACATGAACATGGAGCTCAACTCATTATGTTTGAAGTCTGGGACCACCACTTCATGTGAATACAATATCCTTGAATGAGGACACAGTCATAGGCTCAACCTCCATGTAAGTCTTTCATTTGTTCTTTCATTTTTTAAATGTTAACTTCAGTACATTTTGGTTTTCACAGAGCGTAGATTACTCCATTCTGAACACCAGTCAGGTATGACTCCTGCTTATGTCTGTCATGTGTCCTCAGTGAAGGGGTGGATGGGTCAGAGCTGACTCCCCTCCAAACCTGGAACAATAATACACAGGTTCTCATTATGCCCTACTAGACTCATTTCTGTACATAAATGGAGGATGTCAATATTGTTCTAAAAGGAGTATGGACTTTGCCTAAAGTAAATGTTTGATAAGGAACAAAAATAGCCAAAATTCTTTGGATCCTTCTGTTTACTTCTACAAGATCAAAGAGCACTGCCTAATGCCTATGTGAGAAGATGAATCACTGGTTCCAGACCAGCTCAGAGAGATTCACCAGAAGCATATAAAGCCAGTTCACTTCCAACCACATTTATTGAGCGCCAGCTATGTGCCAAGCACTATACAAGGTGCTGAGGACCCAAAGAGGAAATGACAAGGATTCTGCTCACAAGGCACTCACAGTCACTAGAAGCAGATCTTGAAATGGAGAGTAAGTTCTGTTATGACCTATCATCTTAAAAGGAAGAAAAAAAAAAGCAGCAAGCACACACATTTACTTTATTCTCTATGAAACTGGGCATATTTCGAGGTGGCAGATGTCAATTATCCAGTCTGTATTTTACTTAAGGTGTTTTAATATGTCATACGAGGAAAAAATAAGATGTTTGAATCTTCATGCATGAGGGAGAAGGTAGAGAAAATTCCTCCCTCCAATTCCAAACCCCAAACCCTTATAATTACATTCATGATTCTTTTACAGCCCAAAGACACAGAATAAAATACTTTATGATGTTAACTTCAATCCATTTGTTTTGGCTCTAGAGAGATGCATGCATTAAACTTGAAGCATTCTACGTTACTGAAATATTTACATCATTGTACATGTGATGTGGAGGAAATTTTCCTCATATCTTGGGCTGGAGATGAAATAGATTTCTAGTGTAGGCTCCTATATTTAAAGCAGGTTGTGATTTTTCTCAGATAAGGGAGATATCCTATTGGGATCAAATTTACCACAACTTGACCCCAGATGAACAGAGGATACAGTTTGGGATCTTTTGCATCTAATTGTATTTTGAATTGAGTAAGGATACCACCACTGTAAATAGTCAGGGCTTTCACTATTGCAATTCCTGTCGTGGAAAACAAAATCTTGTTTGTTTTCAATGTTCCTGCTCTAATTTCACTTGGCCTTGCAGGTTTGAGACACAGCAAACAGTATAGCTCAAATTACACTTATTTACCACAGGAGAGTTGGGTGCAAACCATATGACATGAATACAATTTACCAGGTTAGAACATAGAAACAAATTCAGAGTATTATAAACCACTCAGGGGATTATATAAGTGGACTTAGGACATTCTCTCTCCATGAGATTTAGTGAGTAAGACCCACATCAGTAACACCCATACCTCTTCACAGGTAAAGGTAGGAAACCCAGTAAACCAGATTGAACAAGCAGAAGGCAGTGGGGAAGAAGATCCGCGCATAGGAGTCCATCTTGGCGATACGGATATGTATCCTCCCATGTCTCCAAGCTCCTGTTCGGCAGTCTTCGAAACAGCAGAAAAAACTGGCACAGTCCTTGCCGTCCAGACACTCATACCCATATTCTTCATCTCTCTCTTGAAGGTGTGTGGCATTATTCATTTGAATGGTTGCTGATCGTGGGCGGATATCAATGGTAGGGGCCTGAGATAAGGGTAGGGAAGGAGAGGGATCAGAGTTAGTTATACTTGCTAAATCCTAGACCATTTCTCCACAGTGTCAACCAATGTGAATGATGAATCTGAAAATGAGTACTCAGGGAATTGCTATGACATCATGATCTACAATGGTAAAATTGAACTTAGAAGGATAGCACATTTGCAGAGTTCAAATTTTGAGCTTAAGCAGTGCAGCTGAAAATAATACCACCAAGCTAATAGCTATAGCAAGAAGATTGAACACCAAAAGAACTCAAAGTTTAAAGATTTAAATCACACAACTACATGGAATCTTATTCTAGTAAATATTAGATGTGAGGTTGGTTACATGAAGGCATTTAATGGTGTCGCACATGAGTAGAACAGAGAAATAAAAACGCGTCAATTTTGAAATCAAATTTTGTGTCATGCTCATCTATATAGGCAAATACTATAACCCCATTACACTGAGCAAATGTATTGAATGCTTTTAATAGAAAATGTCAAGATATATATAAATGTAGAAGTTTCCTGAGTTTATACCACAATGGTATGACTTACTTATGTTTTAATGGAATATATAAGTACTTTGTCTAACGTGCACCATTTAGAAGCTTCAGAATGTCAGCAATATTAACCTACATGTGAGTGAAAAATTCTTTTAAATGTTACTAGCTATCAAACTCTGGCATGAGAAGAAACTAGTACCAATTAACTAAATGTTAATCTAATCTTTTCTGCTGCACCAATGACAAAATTGCTAGAAAACTCAAACATTTATTTAATGTTAATTTGGACGAGTTAGTTTTAGGGTAATATAAATCCACATCGTATTGTCTGTGAATCAGCTATCAGAATCCAGCTGAGAATAGAAATCTCATTAAATATTGCATGGTAGAGCCAAAGGCCCCTGGATCACCCTGGAAGGGAGGGATGGGTGTTTTAACCTAAAGCATTTCAAAAAGACTGTATTATTTTTATAGAACTGACAGGTAGAGTTCAGGTCAGTGGAGATTATTGCATGTACTTATTGAAAAACAATCCTTTGTTGAATTAGGATTTACAGAGTCAAATTTTAGGGCATATATGGTATATATGGGACATGGTAGGTACAGCCAGTGAAACTGGATTCCATTTTTATCTGAGAAGAGAGGGTGAGTCTTGGCTTTGACGTTTAAAGAGGCCCACTTTACCAATGACATCTCATAGAGCTTACAGATATTTTTAGCCTCACGTTAGGTCAAAACCTCTGAATTAATGTAGGGTTGCTGAATCAATTCTAGAAATCTATAGAACTTTCTCCATCTTAAATGTGTTATCTCTAGTGGAATGCTAAAATGTCTGCTCATAAAAAATAAATAAAACACCATGTAAGCATTAATAGTCAAATTCAGCAGTTGCATGCAGTGAATTTCCATTCCAAAAAACATTATACCTTGAAGGAAAAAAATCGAAAAAATTTTGGGTTTTAAAAAAAAAAAGAAAATCACATTTTTTTAATGAAAAAAGGAAGAAAAAAAAAAAAGAGAGACAAAATAAGATAAATTAAAAATACATTTTGAAAGCATAGCAAGTGAAATGAACTGAAATTGTAAACAAAGAAGGACAGTTCTGAGCTTGGAATAAAGCATATGCCTAAAGTTGGACAATGAAATTTGGTGATTGATTGCTAGTGAAATCTCCAGTAAATTAATCCACAGTGATCTAACTGCAAAGGCCAGTATTGTTCACGTGTGAGGAAGCTTTCTATTGCCCGTTTTCCCTGATCAGAAATACTGATTTCATTTTTCTAATTATCATCAAGGAGGCCTTACTAGGAGAGCCTTGACACAATGAACCCAAGGGCATATTAAATGGGAAAATGAAATTTCAGCTTCTCATTCACAGCTTGGGCTCTTGATAGTTCTGATACATCATCTAATTGGCTTAAAAGAGGGAAATGCATGAAGTTCTCAGGTAATTTCATTTTTGCAGGTTCTTCAATTCCCCTTCTCCTCTGCCTTCTTTTCTTCTGCCAGCTCATGACCCTGGCTTAAGGAATCCAAGTGTTTTGTATCTCTGCAACAAAATCCACTCCACAATAGAGAGGACCAGAGGGCTTTGTCCTAAGCCAGTCCTCACATCCCTGTTTCTACTGCCAGGTAATAATGCTGAGTGTCTGTAGAACCATCTTTGGGGGGGAAATGAAATAGCAAGTGAAGGAGGGGAAGAAAACAAAAAACAACACAACAAGGAAAATAAACTAAGGATAGAGAAAATGCAAAGGTAAAGAGAGGCAATACAGACAGAGAAAGAAAGGGCTGCATAAAGTCCAGTGAATATGGGCAATTAAAGATAACAGTTTCTTTTGCATTAATCATCAAGAATAATGATGCTTCTTCACCTGTTATATAATGTCTTACATTCAAATAAACACGTGCAATTTGTAGAATTTCACCTGGGTTTCTGGAGATGCATCAGGATGCAGTCTAGCATCAGCTAGATTCTGTGGTTATAATTCAGCTCCCCAAAGCCCGTGGGTCAGAAAGCTGGCCACTATCATGACCCTCATAGCCCTTAGAGCAGAAGACCAGGAAAGGCTATAAATTCAGGAGTTCCTTTGCCCCAGTATTGTAAGGAAATGGACTAATTTTCATGGGGCCTCCTATGAACCAAACACTGTGTTTAAGTGGGCAAACGGGTAGCTACATGCTCTTTTCAACATCCATAATAAAAGACAGTTGCTTTAGGCATTTATATTTATGCTTCATCAACTCTATTTAAATTTAGGTGGCAAGGTGAAGCCATCCTACCTGTCTCCAAGTCACTGAACTCAATCCAGGTTGGTAACTGCGTAAATCATCAACATCAACCCCCATCATCAACTATAATTGTAAAGTACTATGTAATGTTTTTTACATCCATTACCCCATTTATTCCTCACAGCAGCCTCATAAGATATGTCTTTTTTGTAATACTCATTTTATATATGAGAAAATAAAAAAGGGAGGCTAAAAAAATACATTTTAACTATAAAACCAATAGAAGTCCTCTGGCAATGCACACACACACACACATTATTTGCAGCAGTGTGGTGATCCCTGAAACTTTAAGAACCTTGTGGCTTCCTATTGGAAATCATTGGATGAAAAATTTAAGTTAAAACATCAATAATTTAAAAATATTAGTTAAGAGGCAGAAAGATGAAAATCAATGAAACCTAAAATAACAAGCTACTAGAAGATGAATGCATTGTTCAGCCATGGTTATACTCCCAATGAAATAGAGAGAGCAAGAGTCTGCCTTAGTGAATCAGGTCTCTCCCAAGTAACTGATGACCTTAATGAATCCTTATGGCCTGGCCTAACCCACACAGTCCCTTTTCATCTTGCAGCCCAAAGTGTGGATAGACTGCAGACAGGCTAAGCAAGACCAAACCAAAACAAAACCAGGTGATCTCTGTGCATACAAATGTCAAAGGTCCCAATAAGAAATGATACATACAGGGTTTTTCTTCTTTTTGTCTTTGTCCTTGCTTGGTTTCCGGTTGCTGACAAAATAATGCAGGGTGCCGTACTCCACCAAAGCAGAGAAGACAAAGATGAAGCAAACAGATACGAAGAGATCCATTGCCGTGACATAGGAGACCTTGGGGAGCGACTTCCGGGCAATGGTGCTGAGGGTAGTCATCGTCAGGACAGTGGTAATGCCTGCAGGAAGACACAACAAAACAGATCATGTGACCACAGCAGCAAGGTGGATAACTGTCACTAATAAAACCAGACGTGTTTTGTGACTTCTGAGGAGCAACCTCAGTATTGGGAAAGGAGGTGTAACTCAGATTCATTCACTCAGTTCACAGATGTGTATTGCCCGCCTACTATTTATCATCTACCGTAGGTGCTGAGAAACGTGCTGAAAATGTGCTGAGAAATAAAATAGACATGGTCCCTGCCCACATGTCCCTCGTATTTCAGCGAAAGACACCACCATGGATCAAGTAAGCAAAGAAAAGTATAATTACAAATTATGGTACGTGCCATGCAGAAGAGCAGGGATGATGAGAACTTACTTAGATGGAAGGCCTCTTTGAGGAGGTGATATTTAAGGCGAAGCTTAAAAAATTAGAAGAAACCAACCTTTTGGCTATTAGCACTAAATAAATTAAAGGGAGGTTCTGAGGAAGGGAAACCTTACCTGTTTTTGAATTTTTAAAATACCTGGCTTCTGGGGATGGGCGGGGAAATCACGGTGATGCTGGGGAAATCGAAGTTCAATCATGCAGAGCATGCACAGGAGTTTGCATTTTATTCAAAGTGCAAGGAGAAGTCATTTAAAAGTATTAAATAGAGGAGGTGCGTTGTGTACGACTGACATGTTCTGATGGATAAATTCTTTAGAGGCTATTTGTGATGAAAATAGGTATCTCAGAAGTAATATCATAACTAATATTTACTGAAAACTTCCAGGCACTCTGATAAACATTTTATGTGCATTCTCTCTTTGAATCTTTACAGCAGATATTTTCATTTTGATTTTATAGTTGAGGAAAAGGAGGTGCAAAAGGACCAGTGCCATGTCAGACGGTAAAGTAGCAGAAGGATTTAAACACAAAAATTAAACGTCTGATTTCAAAACACTTCTTTTCCCCCTTGTGCAACAGTGCCCAAGCAAACAAGTCCTCCCCAATAATTGTTTAATAACAAAGAACAAAATTAAGACAACCTGTACGTATCTACAGGGGAAGGGTCAGGGGCTTACCTTCTGTAACAGCTATGTTAACTACAATAAAGGCAACACAGATTCAGTATCCGCATAGGTTATAGCTCCAGTTATAGGAACTTAAGTAACAGTCTAAATTTCTGCATCTGTTAGTGATCGTGGAGTCATCCGTCTCCCTGTCTAGTCTATATACTTTGTGACAACAGATAAGAAATATATCTTGATGTCCATTGTAATCCCATAGTGAGTATAGTGCTAGGACTCAATAAATATCAAATGAATAAATAAAACAGTTGAAGAATAGTGTGTATATGAAAGACTAGAGACTCAACCTACATTGGAAAATAGGAATCCACATTGATGACTTGGGGGAGATAGATACTGTTCTGTGCAATTAAAACTAACACTTAAGAATCTCTTCCTTTGGCCAAGTACTATGTTAAGTACTTGTATAATTAATTATCCCACAAAATCCTCACAATGACGTAAGCACTGTCATCCTTGAAAAAACCTGAGTACAGAAGGAATAAACTAGTTAAGTGATAGAGATGACATACAAGCCTAGCAAGTCTGACTTTAAACGCAATGCTCTGAACCACATTGCTGTATTTCCTCTCTATAAATAGGTCCATAATATGCAGGATGTTTTTGTTCTTAAGGCAGGTGGGTTAAAACTTTCAAGTGCACATACGAGTTATATACATGCTTACTTTCAAACACTTTCCAATTTTGTTAAGGGTTTTCATGGTCTATCTTTGTTCTGGGAGCTATTGTAAATTCCTAATTTGGGATAAGATGTAGATATGTGGGTCTTCCATGTTGTCATGATGGAAACATAAGAATGGACAAGTTTCTCAATTACAAACTGGGGATGGTAGTGACTGGGGGAACTCCCTAAGGCTCTTGGGAAGACTCAATTGAATAAGGCACATAGAGTGACAATTCCTAGTAAAGTCTCAATAAATAGAAGGTGTTATTATCATTTATTTTAGAGAAGAAAGATCTGCTTCTCAAACGAAAAAAAAGCTTCACTTAGGTTGTCTATACGTTAATTCATGTAGAAGTTTTTGATTATACCTAATCACAGCTGATGTTTTTGTGGGGGAATTTCAAAACTAAATTGGCACTTTGGTCTTCACATTCAGGCCTCAAACCACATATGACCTATGAGAAGTGAAAATGTCAGTATTCACAGTAGATACCATGGATAAGTTCACTTAAGACAATGTGGCCTCTCTCATATTATTAAGTTCACTTAAGACAATGTGGCCTCTCTCATGTTATTAGGCTACATGGCAGTTCATCACAGCCATGTAAAAGAAGAATCTTAAAAAAATGCTTCAAGATATTTTCAGGTCTGCCTGGAGCCACAGAGAAGAGAACAATGAAGAATAGACAAATGGTAGTTTTAAGTGATTTGCCAACCAACAACAAGATAGCCTGATGTGGTTTTTTCGTTTGTTTTTAATGTGGTTTTTAAGCCTAGTTTTGCTAAGCAAAGAAATTAGAGTTCTCTTACCTGAGATACATGAAAAAGATCCATAGCTTCTTTCCATTCCTCCAGCCTTGGCATGAAGTAAGCTCTTGAGGCATGTTACCTTACCTCATAACTTGGGTGAAAAATACCAATTCGTATTGTCCTTGTTTCAGCCATCATCCTTACATCATGATTAAACCTCACCAGCTACCACTTGTGTACCAAACTATACTCAAGTGTTACAAGTTCCAAAATGAATATTCCCCATTCTGTGGTGATCTGAGTTTAGAAAGCAGTCAGTCTCTGAGCCACATGGGTATATTTGTCTCACTCATCAAATAACTTGGCTCTCTTAACTGTTCAATGGCAATAAACTTGAAGTTCACAGGTGTTTAATGTCATCTGGTTCAACTCTTGATTGTAAACACTGGAAAAGGCAATTGGACTCAGTGAAATCTAGGTCAGTGTTCTTAAACCTGATCACACATTAGAATCACCTGGGAAATTTTGTTTTTCTTTTAATCCTGACACCCAGCCCATGCTGTCAACAAACTAAATAAGCATCTCTTCAGGTTGGACTATGGCAGCTGTACTCTTAAAGGCCCCCTACTGAGTTAAATGTACAGTTAAATCTAAGAAGCACTGATCTAAAGAAGTGAGACAGCAAAGCTAAAACAGAGAAACCAGCTCAGCACCCTACCTTTTCCCACAACTGGCCTTCAACAAGGTCTCACCCAGAGCAGATCTAGGTGTCAATCAGCCAAGGTGCAGATCTACTATCTGCTGGCTGTGTGACCTTGTAAATGTCATTTAACCTTACAGCACCTCTGCTTCCTTAGCTCTAAAAGTGTGATAATAACCTTTATTATCATTACAACTTCTACGTGAGGCTGTTGTGAAGAGTAGAAAAAGCATGGGGACCATGTTGAAGATGCCTGACTTATAGTAAATGATCAACAAATAAGGGGAGCACCTACCTGCTATTTGCTTGGGGACCCGTCCCTCGTTCCTCAGCCCACTCACCTTGATCCCTTCTCCCACCATGGTCTTGTGCCAGTGAGCACTCATCGAATAAGTGGTGGAAATGAGCTACTAGAGTGGTCTTAAGAAGGATTTTGACCAGCAGGAACTAGACTTCAAGAGAATAGATTGATTTAAAATCCTTCCCTTAAAATATTTTTGGAATGGGTAGATTGGAATGAATGCATCAGTGCATTTTTTCCATCCATTCATAAGTGCATACATTCCTTGAATAATCACTGAAGTACCAGCCATGTGCCAGGCACTATAATGGGAGTGAAAAAGACATTTACATTCTGAGGTAACAGACATATAAGCGTGTAATGCAGTACACTACTCAGAATCACAGGTAATAGTCCTCAAGTAATAGACTCAGCACATTTTGGGTTTGTCTTAGCATGTAGCATTAGACAGGACATTATAATTGTTAAGTAGAGCCTGTAACATAAAGTACCTCATATAACAGAAAAACTCAAAATAACTTTATTTTGAAACAGATGGGAGACTAAATTAGGTTTGGAGGAGAACAAAAATGCAAATGATGTCTTTTTTTCCCACTAATCATTTCTGCCCTCAGTTTTAATAACGTGGTACAGATCACTCTGTCAGAAAATGACTATAAATGCTAACATTTCTGAGGCCCTACTATGCCTTGTGAACTTTGCTTGGAATACCTGATTTCACCTAATAAAACCCCACAGTTAGGTACAGGAAATGATATATGTTTCACATGTGAGTAAAATGTGATTTGTATATCCAAGGCCATACCATATGTGTGGGTTGAAATCCAGATTCTCTGGACTTCAAAATCCAAGCTCTTAACTATTACATGATACTGCCTCTCTAGTCAAAGAGTGAGCAAGAAATATGGTTCTAGTTTTCATACAGATGATAAAAGAGGACAGTGGTTTTATAATTCATTTTTCAGTAGTTTTAGTTAAGTCTTTAGGAAATTTTACGTAGTATGAGAATTTTATTCATGGGCCTAGCCTCCAATGTCCCTGTGAGTCTGTGGCTTTGTCGTAATCTACGTGAGTCCTCTTTCCTTTTGTGAGGAAAAAGATGTGAAACTCCAAGACAGATATCACCATATACAAGAGATCGAGCAAACTGCAAATAATATTAAAAGTGGAGGGAGGGGTCCCAGAATTTCACAGGTTATGTTTTCCCCAAAATAATCTTTTCAATGGTTCTTCTATAAGGAGCCAATTACTGTGTATGTATGTCTTCAAATGTCACAATAATTATGCATGTTGAAATTAATCAATAGCCAGTAGTGTGCTAGTAAATGTGTAACAGTTGATTCCCTAGAGAAAAGGTGCCCCTGATTTTTAGTGTTTGCCTATTTCCATGTTGTTAATATTTTCACCTTGGTTGATTTCACTACCAATGTGGCATCACTGAACACAACGTTGGGAAGAGATAAACACAATCAGC